TCTTGGTAAACAAAAACATTGTAACAGTCCGATTTTCTTGAAGGTCAAGAGTTCAAATTGAGATTTTGTTTAAAAAAAAAAAAACCATTGAACATGTCACCAACACTTGGTCAATTACTGCCTCAGATAGCAAGTGAAAAATTCGGCCATGATTTTTTTCCCCAACAAAATGGCTATTGGCTTATTTATAGCAAAAATACACTTATCATGGTAATTTCCTGTAGAAATAATCTAGCATTGCAAGGTACAACATCTCTATGTACAATTTGTTAAATGACTTGATGGCAAAAAGAAAAATATTTTGAAGGTTAGGTTTGTGTCGTATTCTTTTGGGTGAAGGGTGAACACCTCTTCTATGAGCTTCCAAGTCCTAAACACTGCAAAAGCGTCCAGCCATACAATTTGATGGTTTCCCAGGATATCTATCTTCAAAATTACATCTTTATGTCTTCTAAAATAACACCATCAATTTTTCAAAGAAAAAAAGTACGTGACCCCAAATCCCATTCTCTTGTCCTATGTAAGTATTAAATACTCAGAAATCAATCTAAAAGTAAGTACCGGGGGGGGGGGGGAAGGGTTAAAAATTACAATCTGAGCATCAAATGCATGGAGCAAAGATGTGCGATAAAGTGAACACTCTGAAATTACAGACTCAAGTGAAATTTCGTGGCCAGCCCTAAACATTCAGTTCTTACAGTATCAAGCAGGCTACATCCCCAACAAGAAAAAAAAAATGCAGGACAAGTAGCTTCTGGGGATATTCTAGTGTCCATGTATGATACGGCTAAAGCTAATATATAAAATTCAATGCACAGAATTCTGGATGGGCTCATAAAGGAAATAGGAAAAGCCTCATCCATGACATCCCGGGAGATTCACAAATTCTTCTCACGCTCTTTCATCACTGACATGATTTGGAACTTCTGCTTGGCTGTCCAATGGCATATACTGTGCCATGATTGCCCTGATCTCAGAATCCATGTATTGCTGCAGAACAACGCACACAAATACCAGTCAAATTTTTACCCAATTGTACACAAATTACACAGAGGAACTATCATTCACTGATAATCAACACCAAATATTATTAATCAAGCAATCTCATGTCAGCAAATTGAGGCAATCTTCTTGCTATGGAGTCATTAGTACACCATGGTAATATTTTATAAAAATTAACAAAGCTAAAAGTGGTGAGATTTTAAGATTCACATAGTTTTTGAGTGGCATAAAATATTGACCAAAGTGGTATCATCTTAAGCAACCTGGTCTCCTTATCAATAATAATTTGTTTTTGATGTCAGTTTCCCAACGAGATGCATCTGGATAACACAAGGTGTCCAAAATACTGGGGCTGAGATGACAGGATATAAAATGCCTCATGCTTTTGTGTTTTCCGATTAAGATTTCTAATATAGGTTTGGCAGACTTGAAACGTTGTGGGTCTAGTGATCTACTTCCAACCAAAGGCCACTATAATGCTATGGAAATTTGACAGCAAGTATCCAATAAAATCACCGAACTGGCAAAAGGTCAACGAGCTTACCCTTATTCTATACTTGTACACAAGATATGCCCCACCAGCAGCAATAGCTAAGCCAAGTAAAATGACCCAAAAAGCTGCCCATGCAGATCTTCCCTCACTTGCTGTCTTGCCTGTAGATTACACAACAGGGAATATGAAATCATGTTCAAATGAAGTATATGAAAACGAAATGGAGTGTAATGGACTCACTTATGCAGGCATCATGGTCTCGGATATACAAAAGATTCCCACTACAGCTGCAGTCATAACTTCCCCAGGTATTCTTGCAGCTACATTCAGGGCACTGACAAGCTTTCTTCTCCCTGCACTCATCAATATCTGCACCAAGGAAAAAAAAGAAAAGAAAATGAAAAAGAATAAGGATAAGGAGTTCAATCTCATTCTATCCTTTTCCAGTTGCAGCGGAAACATTCCGTAGATTCTTGACCCATCTCATTTTCCAGTTATCACAATCAAGTCCACAAAACTTGTCAAAAAACCAAGGATTAAGACCCCACAATTACTTCACAACTAAAATGAAAATCTGGGGAAAAAGAAGGGTTAAAAGTTCTCATTTTACCATCAAGAAAGGTTTCAATTGACAATTGGGAGGCAATGGAAATGCCATAATAGAGGACCATACTTCAATCTAATACTGTCATTTTCCAGTGACCATGCTTGATCCAGGCGATCAGCATTAAGGGCTCAAGTATTCATAGCATATAATATTAAACCATAAACTTAGAGAAAGCTTTAAAATGTTCCACTTTAGCTTCACAAAAAATATTATACAAGGTCCAGCATTTTATTGATGATAAACGCTGTAATTAGCAAGCATCATGGATAACAACAATGAACGACAAGGTTCTGGTCCCAGGAAAGAAATATCACCCAATACACACACGCAAATAAGGTCACAGCATCCCTCACCTTCACAACTTTTGACACCATCCCCTCTAAACCCTGGAGGACATTGGCATTTAACCTCTCCATCATCCTATTCAGTAACAACTTTGGTCAGTTACAAGGAAATGAAATTCAACTGTCATAAATTTGAAGGGGACAAACAAAATGAGCAGAAGATACACATATTGCTCACCGAACAAGCAGAAAATGCATGTCCATTCCGGGCTTCATGCCAACAACCTCCATTGTTTATCTTGCACCTGCCAGGTCCACTGGCTGCAAGCCAGAAGAAACCAGAATGAATGAAACTATCAAATATAAGAAGCAAAAGAACCACGTGTTTTACTTGCTTGTGAGATTGAGAGGGCCAATGACAGAACCCATTTGAAAGTCAGGACCATATGGCCGTCCCATCAGCAGAACTGATGACAAAACACATCCATACAAAAAAGGACCACACTATTTCATTTAAGTTCCCCACCGACGAGCAAAATATGGCAGAGATTCATGCCAATAATTTGAACATGGAATGGTTTCTTCAATCTAAGGAAGGAATCTCAAATCAAGACACAAAGTGACAATGTTACTGATAGCAAATCATTTAAGAGATCCCAGATCCGGGAAGAAAGAAAAGAAAAAAGAACGCTAAGCATGCTCGGTGGCAATAATCCAGGTGAAATCTAACAGAATTCACCATGATTAAGAAAGCAAACGCCAAAACCTCTATTAATGAAAAAGCTGCCCTCCCAGAATTAAGACGTGAGATTCCTAGTATCTTACGAACAAGAATCAGTCCAATGAATAAGTACAAAATCTACGCGGCACAAGGTCCATGAGTCTTTAACTCCCAATGATACCACAGCAACATTTCAAATGAATGATTATTTAAAGGACCTTGTGTCATCAACAAAATAACAAGCATGCAAACACATAAACATATCAGATATCATTTTCCTTGGAAAAATAAACTCCCATATAAGTTATAGAAGTAGGCATGAAAAGTCAATAAGCAAAGCGTTACAGCTAACATTCTAGTGGAACTGCCCCTCTTAATCCAAAATCTCCCTTCACACTCCCTGGAGAAATGTGCATGCATTTGCGAGAAAGAGAGGGCATGAAAATTTCAAGTTTGGGTAGGTATTCTAAATTTTATACAAGAAGCTTGGAAAGAGTAGAGGAAGTATTTCACATGCATCAAACAGTCAGCCGCAAACTTATCGAGATCATTATCCACAATGTATTTACCCCCTTTTTTTTTATTTCCTTCTGTTTTTCATTCCAAGCATCATGAGCATAATCGGATAAATGACCCAAAAAGAAAAGGAAAAATTTATTGTATTTTAACCTTGACACATAGTATAACCATCTCCCTTGAACTGCACGCCATCAACAAGGGGACATTCACATACTCGCCCACGGAATGTATCCTGAGCAAATGTAGATGTGTAAATAGGGGAATAACTATCTGTTAATCAGAATGAATTAAGTTATTTCATAATTTTCGATAACTACCTTGCATGCAGTGATGTTGGCCACTTTATCCTGCCAACAACCACCATTGTTGTCCAAGCACTCATTTGTTTCTACATCTGCCAAAAAAAAAAAAACCATCAAGGTGAAAAAAAAAATCAGATTGACATAATAAGCAAACCAAAAACGCCCCGGGGGGGCTCTATATCATAGCACCAAAAGCAATGTGAACCTGAGCTCAAGCAAACGGCTGGTTCAGTAGTTTCCTCAAAACCAGCACAAATAGCCTTCAGAACAGCACCTTTCTCCAACTTTCCTGAAAGTAAAAGCCTTAGGATTGGAAAAGTCCATATCATTATCTATTATACAAGGCAAGAAAGACAAACCTCGATACTGTCGATTATTGACAACAAGAGTGGGCAATATGGTAACATCACCCCGCGAACCCTTCCCAACCTGAAATTAGCAGTGTTTTGTAAGTGTCCTGGATAGATAAATTGATATAACCAGAGGAATAACAGCATAAATTTAAATTTAAAATAATAACAATAGTGAAGGAGAGTACTTGAGCATCTTGCTCTTCTTTCAGAACAGGATTTTCAGAATCAGCGTCTGGATCTCCCATGCAACTTTCAATCTTGTTATTATCAAGACCTGCAAAATTAAAATAGAGACATGAGATGTCATTGTCAACATTCAGCACAGCAGCACCCAAATAAGGCATAATAAGCTGTGACAGATTACTAACCGAGTGACTTAATAACAGCATCTGCACATTCCTTATTGTATTTCTTTTCCTTCATGGGGCATCTTATTTGAAAATCAGTCACATAGTCCCACCAAACCCAGGGCTTTTTAGATTCATTTGCCACTTTGAAGACACATAACTGCCTTAAATTCTCAATAACCACATCTTTCCCGTCATAACCTGTGCTGAAGTCCTGCTCTGGATCAGGGGCGCAATATCTTCCATGATTTATGCACTGGGACTTGCACTGCTTGCTTAGAGTGAATGCCTGAGGACAGTACCAAGTTATATAATGCGGAGTAAACTGAGTGTAACCACCCTTCTCTAGTATCTGCGCTGCACCCTTGAAATCCTTTACAAATTCCATCAACATATCACATTTGACCCCACACTCATCATTGCTGTTGGTCCATAGCTCATATTCCACACGATCATCTGGATGAGGTACAGCCTCTCTCCAATCAAGATTTACATTGACCATCTCTCCACTACTTATAGCTTTCTTCAATCTTTCACCGAAACTTTTCTCAATGAGAGCAGAGGGTATTGTAATATTCTCTATGTATTTTGCAGATGACACATCCTCTTCAGGTGTGTCCATTGTTATTAAGGGTTCCTCAACATCATCCGCCACAAGAACTGCAGAAGCTCCTGCCTTTTGAGCATTCCAGACCTTCAAAGCAAAGAAGCAATCTGAAAGGAACAGATAAAATGACTATAAATACACCCCCAAGAGAACACTTTTAAGACTTATAACTGTATAACGTGCTACTTTGATGGGGGAAAAAATAACTGTAACAAAATGAACAAATTATTACCATCTAAAAATAGAAAACCAAATAACATATCTGGATTTGTAGGCGTTCAATTATCATTAAAAATCTAAAGGCATGCATTTAAGCATCAAACCACCCAAAAGAGACACAAACTGCCCCTTTTTTTGATTCAATTAATTAAAAAAACAGCATCCAACGGTTAAAACAACCAGATTAAAGTAAAATTGTTAATGAACAAAATCTTTTCCCACCAAAATTAGAGCAAAAAGGCAAATTACCCAAGCACGTAAAAGATACAGCCAAAATTATAAATGCAAAATGACATGATGAGATACTACATTATCCATGGACCAAAGCAAACCGAGAGAACTACCACTGACAAAGAAAACAACTTTTGCATATTAACAAGCAGAACAAACGATTGAGCTAGAATGGAGCATCTGCAGTGAAGCGAACCAAACTGCAAAACTCATAACGACTACCAATTAAACCGAAAAAACAAAAGGATTAGTTTAACCTCAATCCCCAACAAGACATGCAAATTCATCAAGTTCTTACTTCCACGATCGAGTAAAAGGATTGTGGGAAGAGCTCCAGGCCTCGATTTGAAGGAGAGGCCAAAGTCATCGAACTCTTTACAAGCCTTCTGGTTATCCTTAGGGTACACAACAGTCCCAGCCATGCTACCTCCATACTGAGGAATCCCAAAGTTCCCGATCGCACTGTCATATGTACCTTTGATTTTGTCCGGCGAGGTCACCCTCAAGCTGTTCTTCTCCACCACGAATCTCCCCATTGACGAGGGGGCGAAGGACAGTAGCAGAAACCCTAGAAAAAACCTCAGCAATGACCTCCGAAGCTTCATCTTTAAACCCCAAAAAATATCAGGGTTTCCAAATGGGTTAGCTTCGAAAATCAACAAGAACACAAATTTATTCCTTCTCTCAACTCCCCTCTTATTTTCCGTAGTTCTTCTGTTTTGCTGAAAAAAGAAAGAACTGTTATTGCTATCGCCAAACAGCAAACGAATATCGTTTAAAGATGAAGAAGCTGTGGAAACTTGGAGACGCTCGACTCCCTGGTCCAGTGAGAGACAACACCACGGACTCTCATTTCTTAATTAGTGGTAGTTTGATTTGATCAGCTTATTTAATTATAAAAGTTAAACTTGGTTAGTCTATCTTCATATATTGATTGGTTGAAGCGAAGAAGACAGAATTAGACTTGCCTTTAATAATTCGTAATTTTGAATATAAATTATTATTGTTAATATTAGATCTACAGATATTTTTTTAATTTTTCAGTTATACTTACAAAAATAAGATGCATGTAAAATTTTTTTTTTTTGAGCAATTCAGTTTTCTTTTCAAAGAATTGGGAAATCAATTATGTGTTGAGCTGTTCCATGAGTTTAAAATGGTGCCTTCACCAAATTATCCAATTAATTATTTAATTTTGTCATTTTCACGCTGATGTTACATTTTCATTATAAATTGATGTCTGAGGGTTAGATTTTTTTTTTTCCCCCCTGGTTTGCGCGTTAATTGAAATTTTAAATATTGGAGGCTGGAGCCACGTAAAATTTAAAAGTTTAAGCTTCTATAAAGCTGGCTCAAGTAATAAGAAATGAGTAATGTATAATTAGTGGCTAATGCGTCAAATAATCATGACCTAATAAATTTAAGATTCTTAATGTGTAATAATTCAAAGAATCAAACATTTAGAGGTATTTTTAATTTTAAATATCCCCTTGTGTGCGGATAGACAGGTGGATACAAATTCATTATTTAAAACTTTAATTTGAAAGTAACACTTGTACTTAATTATTTTAAAAAAAAAAAAACAGCAGCAGGACAAAAGATTGATACCCATCTAAATATAAAACGGCAAGAGATTGCATTTTAATTTACTGATGTGTTTTTTATTTGGACCAAATATACTGATTAGTTTAATTTCAATCAAATAATGGCTGGTCGATCTTTTTTCCTGAATAAAGCAATAAGTTTTTTTGGCCTAAAAAAGAAATAAAGTATTTTTCTTTTCTCCGGTTATGCCCAAAAAAATATAAAATTATTTTAGAGCGAAAGATGCACAGAATCCAAGAAGAAACGGGGTAAAAACAGAGAGAGTCACAGTCAAATAAATGCTAGTACAATTTGATATAACCTTTTCATGTAAAAACATGCTACGTTCAATTCATAATATAAAAACGAAATAACTAATTTACAAAAGTTAAAAAAATTAATTAAATTAGTAAAACACAATAAATGTGTATTGATTTTTCTAAATATCATCTTTAATTTGTGTATTAAAAGTATTCCTTAATAAAAATTCTTTTTAATTTATAAGATATTTTAGAAAAAAAACATTGTAAATTTTAGAGACAAAGAGCAGGGTAAGATTTTATATTTATAATCAAATTTAATTTTTAATTAATTTTTATATTAAGAATCAGAAAGACTATGCAAAACATGGTTACAAAGAGAAGCATTTTAGGGGGGGAACATAATTTATATGAGTAACTATCTTATTTAATTTTCAAGAGAAATATACTATATATTTTGATTTGATATTATTGATATTATTCTAAGCGGACGTGAGCCAGTGTGATTCCCATAGAGCGTTGATTAATTAAGTATCACACATTATAAAAGTAAATTAAAAAATGGACAAAAAATAAATAAATTGAGCTAAACATACATTTAATATATCGAATCATCAAAATAATGTTTATGCACTGTGGCCATAAATAAATGTAATTAGGAATTATGCATGTCAATGTGAGAAACGTTTCAACATACGAATAAAGACACTGATGTTTTAGAAATTTTTTTATTAAAAAAAAATCGTCTTATTCAAAAGGAACACGTTATTTGGGCCACAAGCCAGCTTAAGCAATAGGAGTTTGACAAGTGTCCACAATGACTCACCCCAACCAGTCCTGGGAGGCCACCGCGTTGAAGCAAAATATTGAGGACCAGGACCACAGATTTTCCTTTTATGTAATGAGAACGCAATTTTAAGCATAAGGAAAATAATATCTTTTGTTATCACTACTAGCTAGCATCTAATAATATGGTACTAGCTGGTCCAAAAAAAAAAAAAACTAATAATATGGTACTATATTGTTTATTATTATTTTAGATAGTATAATAACAAGAGTTATCCATTCTTATATATAATTTATTTTCATTACGTAACAAGAATTTTTTTCATTTTACCAACGGGCCTACGCCCAATATAGCAAGGGGTTTATAATACTCATCCGATTTTTAATATAAGACATATTTAACTAATTTAATTATATTAAAAAAATGAGGTAAGTTAGTTAATTATAAAAAAATATGACATATTTTTTTAAACTATCATAATCATCTTTCTTAATATCCTTACTCCCTCTTCTATTTGATTATATGGTTAACAAAGTATTCATAGGTATAATTTAAAAAAATTAATAAATATAAAAAATAAGTATTATATTTAAAATCAAAATTAACTTACTAATTAAGTTTTATATTAAGGACAGAAAGAGTATTTTACTAGAGAAAAAGTTTGGTCTATTTCCTGGGGAATCAAGGTTTAAGAGTTTCGTTGGAAGACACACTTCTGGCAAAAAACAGATCGGTCGATTTGTGAATATTTATTTGATATAAAAAAAACTAAGAAATATAAGCAAATTACTCCAATTCCAATATATGTGAAGGAAAAGAGGACGGAAGGTAAAATAAAACAATGAGAAACGTTAATCACGTGGGGGTATGAGTGTGGGAAGAGAGAGAGAGGGGGGGAGGGTATAGTGGTCCATTCAAAGAAATAAAGAAGGACAGCGTCCTGTCGATTCCTGCACATTGATATATTTTGTCGGTTAGCACATGAAAGGCAGCGATAAGATTGCTACAGTCTGCTTTGCTTCGGGAAGGGCAATGCCTCCAACTCCACTTCCATATTTAATTTAATTTTAAGAAAAATTGCGTTGGGGTCCCAAGAAAGAGAAAATACAACAAAAATTTAGTAATTGTTTACAAATCCCACTTAGGAGCTGATCCTAATAATATAAAAAGTGAATAGACTCATTTGCACATGGAATTCTGACGAAAAAACGGTAAAGAAAAACAGAAAGAACTGATTTCTTGCATTTTTAAGTTCTTAAACATGAGAAAAAAGAGATTGACAACAAAATAACTAAATTTTAAGTGTCTTCCATCTTTATCATCTTTTGAGGTTTAAAACTTTCTTTCCCCTCATCTCTTAGAAAATTTTAGTTAAAATTAACTCAATGAATTTATAAAAACACATGTATAAAAACTTTCTCCCATTTTGATTTTTTTTCTGATTTTGATTTTTATTATTATTTATTTTTGAAGGAGTTGATTAATGCAATGAAATGATTGTTACAATTTTAGACATTCCTTAAATATATTTTACTAATTTTAGGCATAAGTCCAAAGGAGTTTTGGCTTCATGCTTTTATGCCGTGGAAGGTTACATGGGGCTCGGTTTTGCTTTACCATTATTTAGATTTGTTTATTTAAATACTTATAAGTACATTTTATATATAAAAAAAATTTCTTACATATTTCGTATTTTATAAATTACGATTAAAAAACTACTTATAAACTATTTCAAACAAATTATTTGTGTTGGAATGCTTTGAAGTTGAAAGATTACCAAGAAGTTTCTTCCACTTTTTATTTTTTGTAAAAAAAAATTTAGGTGAGTTGGTTCCTAGGGTTTACCATGATTAAGACATGTCTCTAAACTCAAAGAACATTTACAGAGATATTTACACATTACCCATTAATAAGATTCTCATATTAATAATGAGATTTGAACTCACAATATTATACATTACTCTCTCCGTTCCTTATATATGATGTTTATGGCTTGTTCCTATATATAAGAGATACTTAAAAGTTGTCTCTACTTTTTTGTGTTGATTTCTTATTTTTCTCATATTTATTATCTCCAACTCACACTCTCTCTCCCTCCCACTTCTATTTTTTTTAATAATTTAATTGTTCTCTCATGCTCTCTCTCTTCTTATTACTGAGGGCATTTTTGAAAAAAAAATTATACTTTTTACACATTAATTATTCTTAACTAATTTTAACTGTTTTTTTTATCAACGTACTTCAGTTATTTGTCTCTTATAATAAGAAACGGATGGAGTATTAACTAACTTTTTATCTAGAATGTGTTGTAACTGCAAATGGAAAAGCTGTGCTGGCATATAGGCCTGGGCTTGGTGGGGCAACTCTTTGGACACCCGCCTCTTTTAGCTCTTTGGACAGCCACCTCTTTTAGCCGCTTGGACGGCTCTTGCACGACAAAGCACTAAGTTACATATCATATTCATAGGGCTGTTCTTTCCTCTTACTGTCATTTTTCTCTGTTTGGTTTCATTCTTCATGAGAGAGGTTTGCACATTATTAAATGATGGTTTGTGGATGCTACTTGTTAGGTTTAGATTCAATTAATAATACAATATGATTTGTTGGCCAATAAAATTAGAAAAATGTGTTATCCATTTTATAAGCTTTATTTTAGATCTATCCAACCATTTAATATATTTTTTTAATTTTACAATTAATTAATTTATTCTTTCTCATTTGTCGTTTTCTCATTACATTTTCTCATCCATTCCTTTTCGTTATCTTTCTTATTTATTATAAGGGCATATTTAAAAATAAATATAATTCTAACATTTTATTGCTTTTAACTAATTTTAACTGATTTTTTATTATGTGTAAATCAATTATTTAAAGCTTATAATTAGAATGACTTCGTACTTATTTTGAAATTGTTATCTTACGTAGACTGTATAGAACTGGAAGGAGTACATATTAATTTTATTATTATCCGCTTTAAAAGAGTATTGTTCTGTACGAATATTTTTGACTTGACCTTACTTCCTCTTGCTCAAAATATAAGTTAAACTTTATTGGAGGGACTTGATTTTTTTATAAGATAACATTTATTTTTGTCTAAGCATTTAATTATTTTTTTTTCAATTTTATCCCCATATATTTTCTCTTCTCTTTAATTTATTTATTATATTTTTATTTATTCTCTTTATTAATAAGGGCATATTTAAGGGAAAAATACATGTCTTATATATTTATTGTTTTAAACTGATTTTAACTAGTTTTTTTATCAACATAGAAAGATAAAGTTTAGCTTATATTTTGAACAAAATAGAGTATCAAAGTTATTCAGTTTACAAACAATTAATTAATTGCATTCATAATGCAGCTGGCGCCACACATGCGCTTATTAAATTTTGATTCCCAAAATTTAAGACCTATATTTAATTCCCTAATCTAATCATGTTATTGTGTTAACTAATCTTTCCCACTCACAATACAAGTCATTTTCAGAAAAATAACTTGATTCAAAATACAAGTCACTTAGAGAGCAATTAATGCTCATTTATAAATTTTATCCATAGAATTAATGCTTAAATATAACTATATATATTTTTCTCTCATTAACAAGCTCATTTAATATGGATAAAGTTATGAAATAAGATAAGAGTTCTATTTCAACTAACGTATAAGTGCTTACAAGATCTTAAGATACAAACAAGCTCGCTCTCACACCCACATATTCTTTTCTCCACGGTCTGAGACTCTCAGTATATGTAACTAAATATTCTTTTGAAAAATGTGATAATTCAAAAACAAAAAACAAGCTAAGAAAATTTATTTGAATAGGTAAGAATATAACACACAAGATCATAAATTCAAATTTTAACGTTAATGTGAATGCTTTATTAGTAGATAATTCTCTAAGTACCTTTCCAACCTAGAGACCTTATGAGATGTATCACTATTTCCATCCAAATAAAGGAGGCAATCGCATAAATATATTATCACTCGCCTTTTTTTTTTTTTTTTAATCTTACCATTGAGAACATGAGAATGTGGTCATACCACTTGGCAGACATGTCTGAGCCAAAACAAAACATGAAAAAAAAAAAAAAAACCAAGTCGGCTGGATAGTACATAAACACAAAATATAAAAAGACACACCATAATTCTTCACCCTTTTATTGAGAATCACAGTTCTGAAACGTCACGGTGAAGAAGAACTAGAGATGCCCTTCACAAGAAGTGAATTTGCCAGGCTTCACACATTAACACGTTCATCAAGACCTTGGCACTGCAAGTAGAGGGAGACCCTTGTCAACGTGAAGTGTTAACATGACATGGTAAGTCACTTTCCTTGTTTCATCTTCTAGTTTGAATCTGAAGAACCTAAGAAGAGCCATTGAAACTATCTTCATCTGCCTGTAAGCAAATTCCTTCCCTAAGCACATCCGAGGTCCAGCCTGCAAATGATCATGGCATAGGGAAAGTATTAGCACCAGAATGAGTGAAAATTGTCAGCAATGAAGAAAATAGGAGAGGGAAAAATGATACAAACATGGAAAGAGATGAACTTGAACGGAGATTCAGGCTTAAAAACTCCATCTTTGAGCCATCGTTCGGGGCGAAATTCCTCAGCATCCTCACCCCAAATGTAGGTCATGCGACCCATAGCATAGGACATGTAGTACACTCCATCGCCCTTTTTCACAGCGTAGCCATCAGGGAGGATGTCATCTACTTCTGCTGTCCTTCCATCCTTGAGTTACAAATCAAACATAGATAAGTAATTACAGCAAAATGCATATCGTACAAATTACAAAGCAAGTTTGTAACACAATGCTGCTTAAACCATGTATGATCACAAGTCAGGTAGAGGGTTTTATTTTGTATAGAAATAGGAATGTGTTGGGCTGCATTATGGCAGTAATAGGTTGTCGGTTCAATCTCATTTATAATCTCAGGTCATTAGTGCTTGTCTTTGTGATTCCAAAAAAACAAAAAAATCACAAGTTGAGAAAACTCAGGCCCATAGCCAAGCTCAATGTCAGCTCTCATCATGGCCTGTGAGAATTGCTGCGTATGAAACAAAAGTCAGGTAATGGCAATTTGCTTTACAGCTTAAGGAGATGTGCCAAAAATTGCTCATTCCATAAGCACATATTTGAACAGGTTATATCCAAAATGGGCTGTCTCAACAAATTCAGTTTCCCTCTGCCAGAATCAAATCAATTAGTGCATCTGACATGGCTAACAAATACAAATCACAAACTGTATAAGTAAACATCTGATAAAACCCTATACAAAACAAGAACAACGGAGGTTAATTGATAAAGTCTAGAACATGAAACGCGAAACAGTTCTAAAAATGAAACCGCAGGATACATTCTTAAGCAATAAGGGTGAAAACTGTTATACAACTTACAACTGGAACTGCAGGGTACAACCTCAAAGTCTCCGACAGAGCCGCATGAAGATAATGCATTTTCTCAAGGATGTCTTCTGTTATATTGTCCACAAACTCATGTATGTTGGGCTTACCTTCCTGCGTGCCAGTGACTTCTGTCACCTCTTGTGCAACCTTCTCTTGGATGAGAGGGTGCTTGCAGAGCAAGTAGAAGAACCATGATAGAGTGTTGCCAGTAGTGTCTTTGCCTGCAATCATGAAGTTCAGAATTATATCCCTCAGATACTGATCGTTCATTGTGGGGTCCTTCTTGCTTGCCATCAGAAACCTAGAGAGTATGTCCTCTTTATCAATCTGAAAACCTCCCAACAAAGTTACAAATGTCCCCATCAGTTCAGAGAATTCTCAATAGCACCACTCAAGAAAATTGTATACATGAAGACCAGCAGTAGTTTCATACTTTTTTGGAAAAGAAAACACTGCATATTTTCTGAAGAAGGCTTTTTCTTATCGATGACTTTTGACCAAAACATCAGATTGGTTTAAAGAAAATACTTTGTTATGAGGGAAGCACAAAAGTAAAAAGAGATTTCCATAAAATTAGAAACTAATTTTCTTCCAGAGGCAAAAGCACCTTAAATCAAAACAGAAATGAGTCATCTTAGCAATTTAACGGAAACAAATAGTTTTTTAATACTAATGAAATTGGTGAACGATTTTATTAAAAACAAATGCTTTCTTGACACACAGCATTTTGATAATCAGATTTAGGGAAAGGAAAAATGACAAGGAAATTTCAAACAAACTGAAGCACAACCATAACATATAGTAGATGGTAATGACTCTGTGATCAACTCACTTGATCTTGCTGATTAGCCAAGCGTTCTTCTTTGATCCTAATCACTCGATGCACGAAATCATCAACTACTTTCACATTTTTCTTGAGGGTAGCTTCACAGCCAATGTTGAGAAACCTCTTTAGCTTCCAAAAGGGATCCACATAGCGCCAGGAAATTATAGCATTTGCCTCATCAAAAGCCTTCATGAATTCAATCCCCTCTTTGCTTGATCCCTCTAGGCAATTCAGTTCCACTCCAAACCCGACTTTGAATATAGAATCCAACGTGCATCTCATTAATATATCCTATAAAGGAACAAAACTTTATATATGTCTTGCTATGAATTCTAAGATGGCATAAAGTGATATCTGCAATTAGAAGGAAAAAACCCAGCATGGAAGCAAAACCATTTTATAGTATAGCCTTTCAAGGACTTCAAAGGATCCACACTAAAGTTTCCACTCAAACTCAGAACCAGAAGTCAGTTGCCATTTCTCCCAAGAAGAACCACATAAAATTTCCTAGAAAATAATCAAACACTTACTTGCATATCAAAAGCCACACTCTCCTTGGAGAGTCCTGAAATAATCCGTACCAATTTGGCGGCGTTGGTTCTGAAAGCAGAGCAGCTGAAATCCCTAAGAACCCTTGTGGAGAACTCATAGCTCGCGAGCTTCCTCTGCTGCTTCCACGTTTCCCCGTTGACTGCGAAAATCCCCCGCCCAAAAAGATCAACCATAAGATCCTCATCACGCTTGCCCTTGTTGTACTTACTGAAATGGCTTTTCAGAACGTGCTCGACGTTTCCCGTGTCGGTGGTAAACAGTTCGCTCATTCCCGGACCCAGAAGCCGAAAAGTGGGTAGAGTTTTGGCGACTTCCGCCTGGTGATCAAAGAGGTTACTGAAGTAGAGGAGCTGGTGGAAGACGGTGCCTTTGACGGGGGCGTATTTTGGGTCTCCGATGGACTTCCCGGCGTACAGGGAGACAAGGAGGAGAAAAGAGAAGATGAAGAAGAGACCCAGAAACGAGAAGAGTGTGAAGGTTAAAAGGACAAAGAGGATTTCCATTTCAGGTGATGAATTTGTTATACGGAGACGTTGGTTTGTTTTGCTTCTCCTTGAGGAAGAAGACGATACAAGAAGATTCACAGAAGGTCCGATTAATCAAATCTGTAAGGGTCAGGAATGGAGAATCAGAACTTGAAGTGAAAGTACAGGCCGATTGGAAGGAGCGTCGGAGTGAAAACGACTAGAGCTCAAACTCATGCTACTCAGCTACTGGCCTACTGCGGTGGTTCACGTCAAATTGATGTTCTCAGGCCATTGGATGCGTTATCCTACCTCATGTCTTTAATATTTAATATAAAAGGTGTACTGCAGAAAAAAAATTATAGTTTTAAAAATAGTTTTATTAAATATGTAAAGGAATTTATTTTAATTTATAAAAAGTGCTTTCTATTTCTAAAATGTATTTTTAGACAATCCAACACTCTCCTAATAAAAAAATCCAATTTGCTTGAATAATTTGAAGAAAGCAAAGAAGTTAGTAATTATTTCTCTCACTAAATTTACTTTACTTGTAAATTGATATAATCTAATAATTAAGATAAATATTTTAAAGAAATTATATAACATATATTATAATTAAATAATTTATTATTTTTTAACTATTTAAATTAGTCAATTGCGTTTTTATATTAAGGATTGAAATTAATATTAAAGTATTAGATACATATAACAAATATTACTTCTGGTCTTTATTATAAGAGCTAGTTAAGTAATTTGAATAAATTAAAAAACTCATTAAGTTAATATTAGTAATAAATAGATATTATGCTTCCTAAAATATCTTTAGTAATTATGTGTATTAGTTAAAATTATTATTTGACAAAACATATATAACTACTATAAAAACTATTTCAAATAAATAAATAAATATAAAAAAAATAAATTGATATATTATATTTAAGATTAAATTAAATGTTAAACTAATTTTTTCACTGACATTATAGTCTTCTGTAAGCCGTTTAGCTTTTTTTTAAAAAGAAAAAAAAATCCTTAGTTGCACATAAATATCCTCGAGGCACTGTTGACGTTACAAGGAACTGGTTGCTTCATGGGTATGCGTGTCTGGAATGTCTTGCAATAGTGATCATCGGAGCACTCCGAAGCTGGTTTGGAGGCTATTGGCCCAGAGCACAAAATTAGGGTAGACGTGGACCCCATGACTGGTGCGTGGTTGAATTGGATTATCACTTTTTCTTTTTAATTCTTGTCATTGTTTTTATTTTTATTTTTCACAGACTGAAACTGACATTCTAACTAACCGTTAAATTTAAAATTGAAAAGTTGGCAAAAAAGTTTTAAAAATTGAAAAAAAATAATTAATATTTTAAATTTTAATTGTAGTGTTTTTTTTAATTTGGAGGAATAATTATTGAAGATTTTTTGTTATAAAAAAATATTAGGTAAGGGTCCAGGTTCAACCCAAAATAAGAGCACGGGGTTTGAATAGCTCTTCCTAAATAATACTATCTCACGTTCTAATTATAAGATCTAGTTTATTAATTTGAGGAGATTAAGAAAGTAAGTTGAGTTAGTTATTTGTAATAAATAAGTATTGTCATTTTTAAAATATCCTTACTAATTAAATGTATTGGCTAGAACTATAATTATTAGAAGAACTATCTTAGAAAAAAATATATAAATATGACAGATAAAATAGATTATGGTCTTATAATTAGGATCAAACTAAAAATCAAATAAGATTTTATATCAAGGACCCCAGGTAGTATTAGGACAAGCGAACCTATGTTGTACCTAAACTTTCCATTCTTCCATTCTAGAATGCCTCTTTAAGTGCCGTGACGGAAATGAACCCCTCCCTGTAGTTTCTACTATTGAGCTCGGGACTCATGGACAATAGGTACTACTTATTTAAGTTGGTAATGGGCGGCTGGGCTCACCAAATCCGGGCCCTAAAAAGGATCTGGTGGACTGGTGGTGGGGCGTGGTAGAGTTGGAAGAGTTGGTACTAATTATTGTTGAGGTCACGGTGAAATTACGCAGAAGATCCCTATAATTTATGAAATTATAAATGAACACCAGGGTAAAAAATTGTCAATTCTGATACGGTTAAGTGCTAACACAAGCTAACAATTTTTAAATTTTTAAAGCTTAATTATAAATATAAAATAATTAATTACAGCTGTCAACAATTTAAGTTGATTTAAATGGTATGGATTCTCATCATTTAATAATTGGCTAAAAGTTTAAAACACATGTTTGATGTATATAATGATAATTGGAGCCATTGCAAACTGAAAAACAAATGGTGTTTGCTATGGCTTTGGGAGCATATGACTTTTTGTTTAAGAGTGGCTTTGAAGTTAAAGTAATTTTTTTTATTTCTAACTTTTTGTCTAAGAACATATGACTCTTAGTCCTTCTCCTGTAATTTCATAAATTCATGTTTTTATAATATCTAATTTTTCTTGATTTTATGGTCTTCATCTATTATTTGTCTTTTGATAAAACAATAACTACTAAGTGGTCTTGCTCCGGGTAAGGATGAGAATACAAGTTCAATTTTTAGGAAGTACCCTTGTTGGTAGAGGAGTTAACCCATTAAATGACGCACTCTATCTCCTCAAACCTGAACTAGTCAATTGCTCGATTGCCTGGCTGAAAAGAAAGTCAGAGCTCAAAAAAGACGCTGGATATTGGGTGGTTGGGGTTTCCCCTTATCAATGGGGGGAAAAAACAATAATGAAGTCTCTAATCTTGAATTTCTAATCACATCGAATTATTTTCTCCCCATCTACTCATACTCATTAAACCCATTTAACTGTCACGAATTACTATTAAGGGTAAAACAAATACTACCTCCGGTCCTAATTATAAGACCCAGTTGACTTATTTGAGGAGATTAAGGAAGTAAGTTAAGTTAGTTATTTGTAATAAATAAGTATTGTTATTCCTAAAATATCCTTGCTAATTAAGTATATTGGCTAGGACTATCATTATTAGAAGGATTATCTTGGAAAAAAATGCATAAATATGAGAGACAAAATGGTTTGGGGTCTTATAATTAGGACCAAACAAAAAGTTAAACGGGGTCTTATAATAAGGACAGGAGGTAGTAAGTTTTAGTTCACCAAAAAACCGTTTTTTAATGAACAATGACTGTATGGGAATTAGTTCCCCCAATGTCTAGTTTGTCAATGAAATGCTCAGCCTACAAAATGTTCCCCTTAAGAGCGAATGCTTTAAAATGGGCTGTAGTTCGGCTTTTCTAAACCCCAGCCCATATAATATTTATTTTTTAGCCACAAAAACAGAAATAAAATGGGCTAAGTCCAAATTCATTTTTTATGCTGGCAAAAAAAAGGCACAATTATTTGAAAAAATGTCCAAATTCATTTTTATCTTGTCAGTCACCTATATTATATTTAGTATTTGTTTTTTAATTTTAATTTTGTTTATTTGACATTAAATTTTAAAAAACATATAGGATCTATGTCTTCTAGAAGATGTCTGAATTAGAGGGATTACATAAATTCCTAGCGTGAGGTGAATTATATAATCTAAACATTTTAGAGCCATCTGCCCATTTGGTTTCAGCGGATGAAATAATTTGTTTATAATATTCAATCTATAAATTTCTGTTTGTTTTAAATTGCATGTTGCTGAATTTAATTGGAAAAAAAAAAGATAATAGAATAAGGCTAAGCCTAAATTCTTAGCCCCAAAAAAACAAGAAGAAATTTTGGCTGACTTTAAACCACATATAGTTAATAATATCAAAATAGTTAAATATATACTCCTCCGGTCCTTATTATAAGACCCAATTTGACTTTTTATTTGGTCCTAATTATAAGACCCAATCCATTTTCTCTCTTATATTTATGTATTTTTTTCCAAGATAATCCTTCTAATAATGATAGTTTTAGCCAATATACTTAATTAGCAAAGATATTTTAGAAATAACAACACTTATTTATTATAAATAACCAACTTAACTTGCTTCCTTAATCTCCTCAAATAAGTCAATTGGGTCTTATAATTAGGACCGGAGGAGTATATATATATAGTGGTTGTGGATTAGTTATGCAATATCCTGACATAATTCATATTTATAATTATGCAATAAATAATAATGAAGCTGCGTTATAATTATTACACTATTATTTTTATCCATATTGTGATATCACTCTCAATTATTTATTGGACAAAATCTGGGTTCAATGTTAGCTAGATTCTTTTACTTTTAAAAAAACGTGGGCGGTTAAATTAAACTCCTTGACGAATGATTAATTGATGATTAACAAAGTTTAAGCTTTTGTTTTAAAAAAAAAAATTTAAGAATTGTTTATTAAATTTTTATATCGGTTTTCATAACCCTGCTTGACGAAACTTAATTAATTGTCTATTAACAAATCACTTGGAAAAAAGAAAATCACACTTTAATTATAGTAATCATGGTTTTTTAGAAAACTGGCATATTATTTGAAATGAAATTTGTCAAATAAGGAAAAATAAAATTCCAGCGCAGTAATAGAAGACCAAACAGAGCTGTGGACCCTTCAAACATGTTGATCTGATGAGCTTATACCAGTAATAATTATGATGAGAAATTATCAGTAATAATTATCTATATGTAGCAGCATTTTGCACCATTTCTGTTTCTTCCCCGGATGAAATAATTTCTTTATAATATTCTTTTTATAAATTTATGTTTGTTTGATTAAAATGCATGTTGATTAATTGAATTGGAAAAATAGATATGGGACGTGTGCAATTATTGATGACGATATAGGGCGTGTGAAAATTTTATATATATATATATATATATATATATATATATTGATTGAGGGCAATAAGGTTGTAGAAACAAAACAAATGCTGGTCCAAAAAGAAACAAAAGCAAATGACAAAAAATGGTAAAGGATCTTACCTAATCACTACCATATCATGAAATATCCTTCAATTAAATTGAAAATTTTAAATCCTTTAAAAGCTTATACACATGCCAAAAAAGAGGCGGAAAAATACGGATCTAATTAACCAATATCGTATATATGATCAAATACACACAAACACATGTATCTTGATTTGAGAAATTTTTTAAAGCCAATAAAATCAATCTTAATAATCATATAACGCACAAGCTGGTATGTTATTAATGGACAAATTAAAGCTGATTATTGTGGACAAAGACAATCACTAGCTTACCAAAAAAAATTAACTAAAAATATATGAAGTGGGAGGACAAATGTGCCGCATA